AGGCAAACCATGACAAGATTTTGCTGCCATTTCAGATGATAGAGCATCCCAGATACCATCAGAGGCAATTATAAGTCTCCCACCAGCCTTTGATAGCTATATCAATAAAAGAATGTCAGGTTTTATCCGGAAGACAAAATAACAGTATCCATAGGTGTAAAATCAAAAAGAATAAAACATCAATTTAGTCCTTGAAGTATCAGCCCTTCACCTAAATAGTCATTAAACTAATAAAATTATATAAGAAGTACCTAAAGTATTGATTATACATTAATGTAGTCCCTGTATTGATATATTGAGGGACTAATTTAAAGAATTTTTCAATTCTTGAGGGTCTATGTAGCAAGATTTTTAATAATTTAGGGACTAGTTATATAATTTCAGTAGGGGAGCCAGTGATACATCAGGGACCAACTTGATGGTTTATTAGAAGAGATTATCTGAAAAGTGCAAAGAAAATATACCTTTACTTGTTTGACATATGGTACTGGAACTATAAACTCCCCAACATCCATGTCTCCTATTGACCTAGAAAGGCATAGACCCCCAGGCCAGCAACGAAGTGGACCAATCTGCATAGATTCAGCAACATACATCTAAACAACAATTGAAAGTAAAACAGAGATCTCCTTGGTCTCCTCCTCTAAGTGCGCCTCGGTCTTCAGAGAGTGTAGAAGGGAAAGAAGAGAATGTAGAAGAAAGAAGTCAGAACTGAAAGAAGTCAAAACTAAAAAATATGATTTTGGGAGTGCCAGAACACTCAATTTATAGGCATCAGGATTCGCGGAACGGCCCGTTTCAAATCCGGAATGGCCCGTTCTGAAATCTCACATCATGTGAAAAATTCACATCCAGAACGACCCATTCTCAAACTAGAACGACTCGTTCTGGGGTTGCAATTAAACTCATAACGACCATATTTGGAATGACCCGTTCTCATCTCTAGAACGATCTGTTCTCATCTTTGGAACGTCCCGTTCCAATCTAGGGTTATAGGCCATTTTGGTAGTTTAGAACGACCCGTTCCAGTTTGGGAACGGCCCGTTCTGGGCTACCAAAAATAGGTCTTTTTAGTAGTTTGGAACGACCCATTCCAATTTAGGAATGACCCGTTCTGGGCTACTAAATCACCCCCTAAAAGTTACTAAATTACTCTCAATAAGAGTATAAAAATTGGGGTGTTACATTTATTGGAGAAATTATTCACTTTTGAAGAATCAAATGTGTATAGTCTTGTTCCATAGTATTTAGTGTTATAAATGACAATCACTAAATAATGTTTATTAGTACAATTTACTTTTGTTGCATGTATTGATTGGAGAATTTATTCGATTTATATATATTAAGATATGATAGAAAAATTGGGAGAAATACCAGAGAAATTGGGAGGATGTGGCGTAAGAGAACTTTATATAAAAGGGAAAAATAAAAATATCTATTAGGATAGGTGTAGTTTAAAATTCTCTCGACAATTGAAGGGGTATGACTCTATAGAGACACATGGGAAGTAAATGTAAACTCAAACGAGTTGTCACTTTTTAGAGACACTATGAGTTGTTATCTATGAAAAAGAACAAAACCATTAATGAGATGTTCAGAAGATTCCAAACCATTTTCAATGGGCTAAAATCCCTGGGAACAAAGTTCTCAAAAGCTCAAAACAATCTCAAGATATTAGATAGTCTTCCAAAGGTCTTGGAACAAAGTTCATTGCCATATTAGAAGCTTGAGACCTTAAACACACTAGATGAACTCCTGGAAACCTTAAGGGTTCATGAAGTCCATCTGAATAACAGGGATCATTTAAAAGCTAATGATTATATTCCTCTAAGGATTGGTGAAACTAGTAAAAAGAGGGATGAAGGCAAAGCTCTAGAAGTTGAGTTTGAGCAGCACAACTTAGATGAGGTTGTGGAGAAAAGATAAAGATTAGAAGGGGGTTGAATAATGTGTATCAAAAACTCACACATTTTTTGCAGTGAAGTAGTAATGTTAATTAGATGAAGCGTGAAGAGTCAGATGGAACACTACATATTTTTATACTGGTTCGTCTCAACTACCGAGATTACGTCCAATTCCCAATTCAACTAGATTGAATTCTATTATCTTTAAACAAAGATACAAGTATTTTTTCAATAAGCCACTTTTGGCTCAACCCTAAGTATTCTTTGACTTGCCTCTTCAAGCAACTACTCAACTATTCTTTTAACAACAAGTCTCTCCAAGCTTAACAACCAAGTATTCTTTTACAATCAAGTCTCTCCAAGATCAAAACAAGTATTCTTTTTCAAACAAGTCTCTCCAAACTCAACCTTATAATAATGGTTATGAAGGTTACACAAATGTATGTTTGTCTCACTTATACATTATACAACCAATACAAAGCAATAAGTGTTTATAGGAAATAATAAATTTATAGAGTGTTTCTATAAAAATGTATATATTGTATCTCTTGTGTAAATTTTATCTATATTTCTTTTTTGAGCTTTAAATCTTCTTATATAGTAGCTTGGAGAAGATGACTGTTGCAACACTTTGAGTCTAACTCATAAGTATGCTTTGTTTGTTTTCATCGTCTTTCCTTGTGGTGGTAGGTGACTATTTGGATAATTTAATGCAATCATTAAATGCATTTCACCAAATGGTACCTTTTTATCTGATTAAAGAGGTTACTTATCAACTTTCCATCCCAAATGATGGAAACTTGTTTGGAGAATCCGGATTGATGTGAATCCTCTTCAAGTTCCTCCATAGATCTTCGGCTCCTTGATCCTTCCTAAGCTTCGCTAAGGTCTCCTATGGAAGAGGAGGCCTTAGAACCACCAAGGTTTGGTGGAGAACTCTCCCAAGAGGCGTCACTCCTTGATGAAGAGATAAGCCTCTGCAATTCTCACCACACTCTTCTAGTGAAGGGATAAGAGAATTGGATGAATATCAAAGAGGTTTTAGGGACTTTTAGAAGAGAGAAATCTGAACAATATTTCATAAATGAAATCTCAATACATCCAAAAGTGTTTTACAAAGAGGGAAAAACGAAAATATAGGAGTAGGAAGCTTGGAGAGTAAGCTAGTATTAACCATGGTTCACTAGGAACCATGGTAAGGTCTAGCTAACCACCCATGGTCTAGAGGCTTGGAGAGAAAGCTCCTCACTTAGCTTGCTTGGTAAGCTAGCTAAGGAGAAGCTTGTGCTTCAAGCTTCCAAGCTTGAGAAGAACCAAGCTATTTGGCCAAGTGTGAACACAAGTGTGAACACATCTAGGTGGGCGGCTCTTTGGACTTAATTTACTCCAACCGGTTTTGAAATTGATAATTTGGTTTAGTTAGGTTCATCCAATGTGAATGGAACCTAGCTAAATCAAATCTATGAAAAATTAGGAGTAAAATGAGTCCAATATGTAAATTTTAGCCTAGGACCACCTTTTGGCTAAATTGCTAGTAACACTCTCTAGCTTGCTAATGGCACTCTCTAGCTTGCTAATGCCACTCCCAATCCTACTACTAGAAAACTAAGAAAAGAATGTATTTCTAGGTTAGGTTAAATGGAGTCAAAGTGCCCAAGTAACCTACCCTAGAAACAATATACAATAGCTACTAAAAAGGAAATAAAGTGCCTCACAAATACAAAGGCAAAAATACACCTATACAAGTATCTACTATATACAAGGTACAAGAAATCAAACTATACAATGTATTTACAATAGAGACTATGAGACTAACAAGAGGAATCATACTCAATACTCATATAGAGCATAGGTCTAAGAAGCACCTCCTCTCTAGAAGCCTCCTCTAGCCTCCTAACCATGGACCTAGTTAAAGGCCCAATGGTCTTCAAGTGTGAGCATCCTTGGATCACCCTTCACCCTTCTTGGTCTTACCTCTTCCAAAGGGATCATTGGGGATTAGATTTCCATCATAGCTTGTAGAAGCAATGTTAGTGTAGAGTAGCTATAACAGTGACTTTAAATGCTTTTCTCCGTGATTTCAAGATTTTGGTTTTGATGGAAAACATGATTCTTCTCTTTAACAAATTTGTGAGCTCCAAGATGGCTTTTTGGTTCAATCTGTTAAGGAATGAAATATTCAAAGCAAACTTTGTTGTTAGTCTCAATAAATGATAAATATTTAATGTATATGAGACATATTGTATTTCGTCTGGTTTACAACATCTTATAAATGATATGTGTCTTACACTTTGTAGACACCCAATTTTTTCTGGACCCACAAAAGCAATGAAATGGACGTCTATTATCAAGGAAAGGAGCTCCTAAAGCATGGAAACAACATGACATGACATTAGAAGGCCTAAAGCCCAAATAAGCTAGTTTTAGTAGCCTGGAATGGGCTGTTCCAAAACTGGAACGCCCGTTCCCAAGTTAGAACGAGTCGTTCCCAAACTAGAACAGGTCGTTCCAAGTTACAAAAAAGGCCTAAAACCCTAGTTTGGAATGGGCCATTCCAACAAAGGAAGTTATGTGTTAAACTCAACTCTGGAACGGGCCGTTTTGGTTTTAGAACGGGGCGTTCCAGGATACAAAATTAACACATAACGTACAGATCCAGAATGGGCCGTTCTAAGTCTGGAACAGGTCGTTATGGCAACTTTTTGATGTCTATAAATAGAAGACTCGGTCATAGTTCTTAGGGCCAAAAAATTTTGTCTAGGACTCCTTAGAGCTCAAAATTTCTCTCTTCCTCCCTCCTATTGTATTTCTTGAGTTGTGAAGCATATTGTAGTGTGAAAGGTAGCCAAAAAGCGCTTACAAGTCTCCATTATTGAAGATCTAATAAAGCTTGCTACGAGGTATTTCTCATCAAGCTCTCTTGCTCACAAGGACATCAGAACTCAAAAGTCCAAAGATGAAACACTGTAACAGGCACCCAGATAAACACAGAAGCACTCCTTCCGCACACTAAACACAAATTGGCACACAAGAAAAACGCCTTTGTCCCAAATTGATCTGCATTCATCACCAACAAAGTTGTTAAACCAGGATCTAACAAGTAACAACTTCCTTAACTCCCAACAATAACTAGATAACTCAGAAGAGCAATATCCCAACTTTTCACAAAGCATTATGCTATTTGTACAATGCAATTTGTATAACCCAGTTTAGCCCCTAGTGAACCCCGTGAACCATGAACTTCAATAGTTTTTTTAGAAAGAGTTTAAAGAAAAAGGAAGAAACTTGAAGCCAAGTACAGAAAGAACATAAATTCCAAGCAGGAAAGAAACAAAGTAATTGAATTACCAGAGAGAATGTCTGGATGTGCACCCCACGAGAAACCAGATGCAGATCTGACTGTGACACCAAACAAACATGCAGAAAATAAGGTAAGATATCAACTTGGATACAAAACGCGTATTGATAACAGGGTATGAACTGTAAAAGTAAAACCCATTAATCTAAAACCACAATCTTCCAATAAAATATAAAACAATTTCTATACTAAACTCTAAAAACTAAAAATACACAAAGGGCTTTAAAATTTAATATGGGGCCAACCCATGTCAGCTTCAAACAGTTTCTTCCACCAAACAGAACTTTTAAAAAAAAATTAATCATAAAACCTCCTTTACTAAACCATAAAAGGGAATAACAGTAGAGCAATTGCCTCCATACTTTGAAGGAAGAAAGTGGCTTTTGCTGAATGCTGACTAAACAGCTTTGCCTCCAGAAAGATACCCACATTCTGATTCAGGTAAAAGTTGTAAACTTTAAACTCTTTTTTTCTTTCCCTGTGTTTCCTTATCCATGAGGAAACCGGCCCACACTATATTTATTTTTTAACATATATTTTTAGTTTTTAAATGAGTGAATTTTTTTATTTTAATTATGTTTAAAAATTATTTTTTTATTATTTTTTTTAAAATATATAAATTATAATTTTAGTATGTTTGATTCAAAATTTTAATTTTTCTATTTTAAAATATTTAGAGACATTTAGTCTCTTATTTTTAAAGTTACGAAATTTTGATTAAATATTAACGTTTTTTTATTTATTTATCAATTTATCACTATTTAAATAATGTAAAGTTTAATAACTGTAAAAATAAAAATTTAAAGTAACATATAAAATATTCACATTTATATATTTTAATGAATGATTAATGTTTATTTTATTAATAAATTTTATTTATATTTTTAAATTTTATAATTTTTAACTGCGATGTTATTAATTATTTAATATATAAATGTTAAAACTGATTAACAAATGTTAGTTTAATAAAAGAAAATTAAAATTATGTATTATTAAAATTAAATAAATTAAATATTATTTCTATTTTAAAATTAAAAATCAAAATTACATATCGTGAGAGAAAAAGAATACTATTTACAAATCCTTAAATTTGTTAAAAAAATATTATTTATTTATTTTAAAATATCATTAAATATATATTTAAGTTTTTTCATTTCTTTACTTTTCAAAAAAATCTTAACGTACAGAAAATTCAGTAAGCCACTAAAGTCCCGTAGTGCAGTCTCAAAATAACAAAGCTCTCTTGCTCACAAGGACATCAGAACTCAAAAGTCCAAAGATGAAACACTGTAACAGGCACCCAGATAAACACAGAAGCACTCCTTCCGCACACTAAACACAAATTGGCACACAAGAAAAACGCCTTTGTCCCAAATTGATCTGCATTCATCACCAACAAAGTTGTTAAACCAGGATCTAACAAGTAACAACTTCCTTAACTCCCAACAATAACTAGATAATAAGATGGATTGAAATTTTAAAATAAACAGACAGATAATAAAGAAATAAAAGTAAATAATAATAAAAAATTTATACCCATTTGTACATTCTTAGGTCATCATTCCATTAACATCATATAGGTAGTTTTTTTTTTAAATGAATAAAAGAAATGTCATCTTTACCATGCATCATTCCCCTGTAGATAATAGAAACATGATAAAGATTAGGAAAAAAAAATGACATGCATTCTAGATTAACTCATTAATTTCATTCATTTTATTTTATTAGCTAAGGAGGATTAGGTTGCGGTACCTATAAAAAGTTAATAAAAGTGAATGCTCTAATATATGACAGTATCTACGCTTTAAAGAAAAAGCCCAAATTTATTTCTAAAAAATACTATGGTTGGGCCCTTGCTTTGATATGTTTGTTGAAGTAAGTCTTCTTAGAATCTAATGTAGATTCTCGCCTAATACTGTCAAAATTTATTTAAGCATTCACAGATAAACAAATCAATGAGACTGATATTTATCATTATCAACTTTCTCTACATTCTGCATTACATTCATTTAGAACATATCCTTCCTTGTAAAAGAATAAATGAAGAATAAAAAAGGAAAATTAACCTATGTGCGTTAGTTAGTAGTAATGGAAAGTAAGCCATGCATAAATAGTTTAGGGTAAAGAACTCCACAATCATCAAGACGCCAACTCTTGCCCCAAGAGGACAAAGCCTTGTCGTGCAACCGCGAAATCCAAGCGGAATAGGAAAAATGACTAGGAATGGAAGAATCCACACTCCTAATGAGTTGGAAGCTAATAAAGAGAACCTAAGGAGGATGAATCCCTCAAACACTAAGGCAAAGTGAATAGAGCTTTCTTGAAAGATGATTTCAACAAGAGAGAAGCATTGCTTGTTAATAAGCTACTAGAATGAAAACCCGCAAAGGGCATTCTAGGAAAAAAAAAAGAAAAAAAAGCAATGTTTGTTCGAGCTGAAAATCGAGAGAAAGCTTGAATGTTCCTCTTGAGAAGTAAGACTCCATGGAAAGCTCTATCATCGCTTCTACCCATTCCTACTTCTTAGGAATGGCTCAGGATATGGGTTGACAACACCTTCATGAGAGAAGAAGCCAAAGGACCTCCCTCTACACGAGATCTTCTGAAGCGCCACATCCAAGCAAGTGGAGGACTAGCTCTATAGTCAGATCACCTAGGCCTCTCTAAGGGACAACCTCCTTCTACTTCTCTGCGTATGAATCACGAACTCAAGGTATGCTCGGGCCCTCGAGCTACATTAAATGGGCACGTGTAAATTGAAAATTTTATTTTAATGCCATACATTTTTCTACTTCATTTATCTTCTTCCTTTTATCTACTCTAAGCCTCGTCAACGAACCTTAAATGAACAAGCACATTTGAAATAGGGACGTCATTAGAAATAATGGCTTAATACGCGATAAGGAACACATAAAGATCAATCAAATTCGGCATGACTAGTGGATAAAAGACCAAACGAAATCAGTGCAAGGGCATCCCCCTTTAATGAAGGAATGAAAGATGATCACAAATGCTGCAAAGAAAAAAGCCCTGCAAGAAACCCATTGAGAGGGCAACGCAAAGATTAGGGTAAGGTCCGCTAGGAGACCCACAAACAAAAAGGGTACCCTAGGCAAACCAAGCTAAGTCGCGCAAGATACGTCCCATGCACACAATGGGCGAGACTGGGACTTCCAAACCAAGCTATCCCCAAGGATTAATCCCCAAAGCTTTTACACTAGGGGGCCTTCTCTGGCGGTGTATTCCATATTGTACCCTTAAAAACATTTATGCATGTCAATCAAGACTCTATGCATTCTCATATCACATTATTATCATCACATTTCATCATCACATTTCATCATCACATTTCATCATCACATTTCATCATCATATTCCATCCTCATATTCACATTATCACATTATCACATTATCACATTATATGCACAATTCTCACAGAGCACTTTAATCCATATTAAAACTCATCTATTTGCGAAATTAAACACATATTCATTCATCTCATTCAACAAGGAATACATAAGAACAATCAGAAAGCAAAACAGAAAACATTCATATTTTGCTTGTTTCTCATAGGGTGGTTTCTCATAGGGTTCCCACAGGAACCCACAGAGCACTCTAATTCATACAATAAACATTTAAAACAATACAATTAACTCATACAATTAATTACATATAAGAAAACAATAGGCAAAATAGATATAATAGGGGAAAACCCCTCATACATGAGCATACAAAAAATTACAACAAACACAGGATTGGGGCCATCCCACTACCTAACAGATATTCCCACACCCAAAGCGAGGTTTCTCACACCCCCCTTACCTGGATTAGCAGGAGCTGAAACTAAAGCTAGATCTTGCTAGTCCCCTCCTCTAGGTTCTCCCTTGGTCTTTAGAGAGTGTAGAAGAAAAAATAGGCCAGAAGTGAAAAATGTGCTTTTGGGAGTGCCGGAGCGTTCTATTTATAGGCATCAGGAGTGGTCAGAACGACCCATTTCAAATCCAGAACGGCCCGTTATGGACTCATATTTCATGTCCAAAATTCAGATTTGGAACGGCCCGATCTAGAATCAGAACGACCCGTTCTAGAATCAGAACGACCCGTTTTGCATATGAGTTTCTACTCACAATGGCCACATTTGGAACGACCCGTTCCCAAATCGGAACGGCCCGTTCTGGTTTCAAAGTTTACTCAGTGAATCATGTGTTGGAACGGCCCGTTCCATTTAGCGTGTTTTATCCTTACTTGTGCAATTTCTGATACTGTACTACTTCAAGTCAAGTACGCTTAACTGTGAAGTTTTGATGAGTAAGCTACCGAAATGTATATGTATGTTGTCAGTATAACTTGTACAAATTAATTCATTTAAGTCATCCTCAAATATACAATCTCATAGTTGTACTATAATAATAATATATAATAATTTTATATTACCAATAATAATAATAATAATAATAATAATTTAAAGTTGTATTGCTTTTAGTGCAAGATCAACTTGAGTATGGTAAATAGATTGTTACATGCTAAATAAAAGAAGAGTTACTTAATGAGGAGTATGTAATAATGATATTTTGACACTCCTTAAATAATAACTATTTCTCCCTCAATTTTTTTTTTGTTTGACGTTTAAGGTTTATACATAAGAATTAAGAAAATGATTGATATTTTAGTTTCAAAGTATTTATTACTTATTTTCCTGTTATACCCTTTAGGTGATTGTAGAGGAAATAGATACATTGAAAATGAATAAACATATTATTCAGTAAACACACATTAATTATTAAGGGTAAAAATGAAAAAGAAAATTAATATGTCATTGATTTTAAAAAAATGACAATGAAAAAAGAACAAAAAAATAATGGAAAAAAACTATGAATAAAAACAGAGAGATTATCATTTATCTAAAGGACCTCTTAACTTTTTAGATCTCTTAACTTCTTAGATAGAGTTGAGATGAATATTTTGAAATATACTTTACTTAGAATTTTATATTTAGGTATTATTATTTTAATGTTATTGAAATATTTTTTCAACATATTTTATTTTTGTAATGTCTTTCTATTGTATTGAATTATTCTTGAATGTTATTTTGATATAATAGAGTTTCCTTTTTCAATAATATTAACTATGTGATCTTCATATGATAACAAAAGATGAAATATTACTGAATAATGTAATGTAGTAAGTTAATGGTTTAGAGTTTAGTTAACTCTAGCGAGAAGGGTATATAAGATTTTCTTTGAGAACGAAACCTCATAAGTTCATTCTCAAAGAAAATCTAGAGAGAAGTTTTAAAGAGAAGAGGGTTATGGGCTAGAAAGCTTGATTTTGGCGGATTGAAGTCTACGGGTCAACCGTTCAAGAATTTTTCTTCTTCTTCTTCTTCTTGGCTTTTCTGAGTCAATTTTCAGGTAAGGGAAGCTAGGATTGTGATAGATTGGTTGCATG